CCTCTCTTCCTTCTGGTGTCTTCTCCGCTCTCTATGTCGATGATCTTACCCTTTGTTGTCAGGGTAATGATTCGCCTCTCCTTCAACGCCGGCTTCAACTTGCAATTGATGCCGTGTCGTCTTGGGCCACAGATCATGGCTTCAAGTTCTCTACTTCTAAGACTTGTGCCATGACTTTTACTCGGAAACGGGTTGTTCTTCGTCCCTCTTTGTCACTTTATGGTCATCCCCTTGAATACAAAGATTCCGCGAAGCTTTTGGGGTTATTCCTTGACACTCGTTTGTCTTGGTCTCCCCCATATCTCTTACCTCCGTGTTGAGTGCTCTAAGGCCCTTACCCTCCTTCGGGTCTTGTCCCATACTTCTTGGGGGGCAGATAGGCGCACTCTCCTTGCTTTACATTCCTCTCTCGTCCTGTCTAAGCTCGATTATGGTTGCCCTGCTTACTCGTCTGCTTCTCCTTCTACTCTTCGCCGTCTTGATGCTTTGCACCATACTGGGTTGCGCCTCAGTTCTGGTGCCTTTCGTTCGACTCCCATCCTTAGCTTGTATGTTGACACTGGCTTCCTGTCTCTCCAGGACCGCCGTGATCGCTACTGTCTTCGCTATCTTGCGCGGTCCTTGCAACATCCTTCCTCTCGCCTCTGTCGTGCTTTAACTTTTACCCCTCCTGCGGTTCCTGTTCCTCTTCACCACCTCCCTCTTTCTGTCCGGTTATCTCGCCTGCAGGATTCTCTTTCCGATCGTATTTCTGATGTTTCTCCTCGTGTTGTTCCTTCTTTGCCCCCGTGGAGGGTCCCTCTTCTGCGGTTTTGTACATCCTTGACCCGTATCACTAAAGCTTTTACCCCTCCTACGGTTCTAAAACGCCTTTTCCTCGAGCACTTTTCTTCTCACTCCCGCTCCGTTTCTGTCTTCATCGATGGGTCTAAGTCAGCGGACGGTGTTGGCTACTCTGTTGTTTTTCCTGATCGCACTTATATGTGTCACTTGCCTCCGGAGACTAGCATCTTTACAGCGGAACTTTATGCTATTCTCTATGCTCTTCGTCTCCTGCTTTCTCGTTGTCAGTCTTCCTTTGTAGTTGTTGTTGACTCTCGTAGTGCCCTCATGGCTCTCGGGTCCTTTAATCTGGTTCATCCAGTAGTTGTCGAGATCCAGCATTGGCTGTTTCTCGTTCACAGTAAATTAAGTCGGTTGAGTTTTGTTGGGTTCCCAGCCATATTGGTGTGTCTTTAAATGAACGTGCGGATGCTGCCGCCAAGGAAGCTGTCCGCTCTTGTCCCATCTCTCGTAAAGGCATTCCGTATTCCGACTTTTACCCAGTTATCCATTCCTTAGTCCTTACCCGTTGGCAGGCTTCTTGGTTGTCTGTTACTGGTAACAAGCTACGTACTCTTAAATGTTGTGTTTCCTCGTGGCAGTCCTTCTTCCACCGTAACCGGCGGTGAGAAACAGCTCTGGCGAGGTTGCGTATTGGCCATACTCGCTTAACCCATGGTCACTTGATGGAGCGCCGCCCTGCTCCTTATTGTCCTAGTTGCATTGTCCCTCTTACGGTCGTGCATGTCCTTCTTGAATGTCCTGACTTCCAGGACGAGCGTGTGTCTTGCTTTCCGACCGCCCCTCGCGGTCACCTGTCCCTCGATAGAATTCTTGGTGACTCGGATACTTTTGATATCGTTCGCCTTATGCGTTTTTGTTCTCGTATTGGCATCCTTGGTGATATTTAGCGCCCTCTGATTATTTTGCGTATTTGATGGTGCTACATAGCCTTCCCGGTTTGGTGCCTTCTTTTGATAATTACTTACTTATTTTTATCCTAGGTGGATTACTTTCCCCTATAGATGATAAAAATACACTCACTCCACACATTCTCTTGTGCTATTTGCATGTACAGTATAATGTAACAACCATGACCCCCACCTCCCCCAGAGCTCACACCCAGGGAAGCATCTCCTAGAGGTCAGCCCAGATGACCTCTGGATCGTCTTGCAAAGTTAATTAAAATATTCCTGGCTAGCCTTAGTCAGCTAGTTTTCAAGGAGATGATATTAATCATGATAATATTGTCAAACATTTTTAATGAAATTATAACTCAGAGACTTACTGTATATGTAAACACCCAGGGACCTATCCCTTTCTGCCAGGTCAGAGGTCAACCACCTGCAGGGGAAGTGTTTGGTTGTGCAAACATTAGGGTGAGGAAAACGTCCCTTCCCTCTTTCACTCCCATAATTAATATTTCCCCGCCTTGAAAAGGTGTATGGTGGTTGTCAAACAACTCTATAGTAAATTCTTGAGTGTTTGTGCACATGTGGGCGGACCACTTACAAGCCTCAAGTAGGTTAGCAACAGCAAATCTTTCCCCCCCCCCCCTTCACCCCTTTTTCAGCTGATATGAGGTGTGGCAGCTTTTTGGGGTGTGTGTATATATATACCCCTGTATGAGAGTTAGGATCAGAGAGAGTGCTGGAGTGCTGGAGGATAGAGAGGTAGTGTGGGCGGCAGGTCATCAAGATGGCCTCAGGAGACAGAGTGAACCCACCCAGGTCGCAGAGCAGGACCCAGAAGGTAATGTGTGTGGTCTTTGATGCTTTCCATGTATGCTGTTTAAATAATTGCCAGTGTTAGGGTAGGGACTTAAAGTTTGGTGAATATTATATTTTGTTCTCAATAAACCCATGTTAAACTTCCCATCTGTGTTAATTAATGGAACCTCCTATCCTCTGAGTTCAGTTTTGTTAACATCCAGTCATTAAGTAAAAATAAAACATCTATAGGAGAACTTTCAATAACCAAGCAATGCTTCTTGGCACATTGCTTGATATAGCTAATGGTCAGGCAGAATAATTGCAGCATAGTTAATTAATTTGATCCCTGGGTAGGATTTCCTTGGAAGAGTACATATTAGCATTATCCAGGATCAGTATAAATTTAGTGTTGCAATATAATTCTAGTGTTACAATAAAACTTTGTTCATAAATGTTGACCCTGATCTGCAACTCTTACTTGATAGATATAATAGAACCCATGGGCACCACATCAAAAATAAATATCTCTTTGATATTCCCAGAGTCAAACTGAATCTATGCAAGCACTCCATGCAAATAAAAGGACCCAGTCTATGAAACTCACTCTCTAATTAATTAAAAAATTGTCAAACCAATGCCTATTCAAAAGTAAAACCAAAAAGTACCTGACTTCATCCTCATAGTTTCCTTCCTTGTGCTTCAAATTCACACTGTATCTTGTGCTACCTACTTCCCCAATACAGTATTAGTACTTAAGACATGCATCTTTACCAGCTTAATCATCCCCGTCAATTTTGAACTCAAATTTTGCTACAAAGTACCAATTATTTACCTGAATTTACCTGAGTGCCACTAATACTAGTGGCCTCAATGAGGACAGGAAGGTGGCGGCTTGTCAAAGGTCCCCCAATTTACCTGGATGATCTTTTCTATCAGTATTTTAATACCCAGAAGAGTTTTGCCGTTCACGGCTTCAGCAGGAAGGCAGTTCCACGGGTTTACAACCCTTTGGGTAAAAATGCATCTTCTGTTTGCTGGCATACATTGTGGCTTGTTGAGCTTGAACTCGTTGCTCCTTGTTCGTGTTACATCTGACCTTTTGAAGAAAGTGTCCGGATCGACATCGTCCAAATTGTTTGGTATTTTGGAGGTTTCTATTAAATCCACCTCTCTCATGCCTTGTCTACAGTGTTGTTAGCCCAGTGGCCCTCAACGGTTCCTGCTACGAGATACGACTAAGCTCTGGTATGATTTTTGTTGCCCGGTGTTGCACCTTTTCCAGAGCAGCTATGTCTTTCTGGAGATGAGGTCTCTATGCCTGGATGCAATAATCCAGGTGGGGGCACACCAGAGACTTGTACAGTTAAATGACTACTTTCTTTTTCTTGAAGGTAAATGTACGTTTGATTATTACCAAGGTTTGGTTCGTTTTTTTTTTACTGTCGCTCCCACTTGTTGTGCAACTTTTAGTGAATGATGGACTCTGATACCAAAGGCCTTTTCTTCATCTATCTGTTGTAAGGTAGTGCTGTCAGTTTGGTAATTGTGACATATATTGTTATGCCCCACATGCAAGGTCTTGCATTTATCAACATTAAAGATCATTTGCCAGTCATCTGACCATTTGTGGAGTTCATGCAGATCTCTTTGTAAGGTCTGGATATCACTTTCACTTCCCACTTTACCATAGATCTTAGTGTTATCTGCAAATTTAATGATGTGGTTTGTAATATTCTCATCTATGTCATTGATATATATGACAAAAAGGGTTGGCCCTAAAATGGACCCCTGTGGGACTGAAAAAAGGAAGGAACTAGAAATCTGAGCACTCCACTATCAAAAGATATACATACAATATATTACTAGAAGCAGGTGAGATAATAGGAATATTGATGTTAGAAAACTTTCATCGAAAGAGTAAAATCAAGACATAATTTTTTTGTATTGATACAAGAATTCCTACATTCTTGTAAACCCACATAGCATTTCAGACAGGTCCTTAAAAATACCTCGTCTTGGAAAGTCGTAAAAGACAGGGGTCTTAAATTGCATTCACTGGAAAGGCGAAGAGTTAGGGGATGACATGATAGAGGTTACAAGTGGATGAATGGACAAAGGGGATATTAATAGGGTATTAAAAGTATCAACACAAGACAGAACATGAAACAATGGGTATAAATTGAATAAGTTTATATTTCGGAAAGACTTGGTTAAATACTGGTTCAGTAACAGGGTTGTTGATTTGTAGAGCTAATCACCGCATGGTGGAGGTGGGTCCCTCAGTTGTTTGAAATGTGAGTTGGACATGTATATGAGTGGGATTGGGTGGTTATAAATAGGAGCTGCCTCGTATTCACCAATAGGCCCTCTGCAGTTACCTTTGTTCTTATGTTCTTAACTGCACTATGATAATTACATATACACTCTTACTCCCAGGAAACTTATATTACTGTATTTATCCTGCAGGTTGCTTCAAATGATCTTAATTCACTGAAAGCAGGAATTGAGGACGTAGAGAATGTGAAGATCAAAGTTGCTGAGTACTTTTGTGAAGACCCCAACACCTTTAAGATTGAGGAGAGTTTTAAGATTCTCTTCAACTTCTGCTCAAGGTCAGTTATCTACCATTGTATTTAATTATTTAAGAGTGTATAAGAGTGTTGCTCCTGCTCTTGTACTATCCATAGCTTTGCTATTCAATAAATTTCTAGAGTGCCATACTTTTCCTGATATCCTTAAAAGAGCAAAAGTTATGCCAGTTCATAAAGGAGGTGATACAGCTGACATAAATAATTACAGACCAATATCAAATGTACGTATACTTTGATAAATATTTGAAAAAATTATTTACAAAAAGCTCTACTCCTACATTGTATAAACTCAACATATTAAGTCCCTGCCAGTTTGGCTTTTGTTCCTTAACCCTTAAACTGTGCAACACGTCTTCTGACGCGTTGAGTAATATATGCAAAAGTGCGGATCACGTCATATGACGTGTTGGAGTACTACGCAAGATTTAAATGGCCCACGGATACATGGGGTTCACATCACCTTCCTCAGGGCTCCTGTAAACAGACTCCAATTTTGTAAAAAATCGTGGGCAACATTCCCGGGTGTGGGGGCCTCAGTACTGAGTGAGCCACCAAGGCTGGCGCATGCAGCATGAGCTCACAGCACTGCTATTCAGCTTGTGATCACAACATCGCCTAAAAATGTAAAAAATATATGTAACTGGTATTATTTAGGGATGATAGTATTACAGAAGACCCCTGACTGTGATAAAAATGACCAGGATTCTGATAATAGCAGGACTATTGTGATAATTTGCCTTGTGCGTAGGATTATGCAAGAAGTAATGTTGAAGGAGTGAGGGCTGTTGCATCGTCTGCCGAATCTATGTGGCCACCTGTTACTGTCTGTACTCACCATACCAACTTAGTGGTTTGCTATGGTGAACAAAACATGCAGATACTTATATATAACATCTGTATATAGTGAATAAAAGCAAAAACAGTATGGTGGGAGGAGAACGTTGGCGAGTCAGGTGAGGTGAGGGAGGGAGTGGCTGCCTGGTGTGCCGGCCACTCTTTGTTGTTTTTGACTCAGCATACCAACTTAGTGGTTCATTATGGTGAACACAAATGTAGATACTTATATATAACGTGTATATATAGTGTGATAACAACAAAAGGAGTGTTGGGAGAAGCTATTTTGGTGAAGGAGGTGGCGACATTTGCATGACTTGTCACGCTGGGTAACGGTGGCCACTATGCTCTTTGGGCACTATACCAGCTTAGTTGAACAGTTATGGTGAACAAAACATGTAGATACTTATATATAATGTGTGTATATAGTGTAATAACACCACAAACAGTATACTTGAAGGAGGAATGTAAGTGCGTCTGGCCTTGAACCAGTGAGGGAGAGAGGGAGCATCAGTTGTGTGTGGTCACCTGTTACTGTTGGCCATCACCATACAAGCTTAGTGGTTCGCTCTGGTGAACACAAATGTAGATACCTGTATATAATGTGTGTATATATAGTGTAATAACACAAGGAGTGTTGGGAGCAGCCATTTTGGTGAGGGAGGTGGCATCATCTTCCTGACTTGTCATGCTGTGTAAGGGTGTGCACTATGCTCTTTGTGCACTGTACCAGCTTAGATGAACAATTATGGTGAACAGAACATTTAGATACTTATATATAATGTCTGTATAACAACAGTAAAAAACAGTATGGTGGGAGGATGATGATGTTGGCGAGTAAGGTGTTTTTGAGGGAGGGAGTGGCAGCGAGTGGCGCCACCACCCTCTCCTTCAAGTATAGTGTGATATGTCATGCAGATGATGCCACCACCCTCACCAAAATAGTTTCTCCCAACACTCTGTTTGCTGTTATTACACTATTGTTATGATCTCAGCCTGCAGGAGAAACGAGTCTCCCTCCTTGAGAGTTATTCAGCAAGCCTGACCTAACTAGAAGGTCTAGCAAATATTGAGGTGATAACCCATATGTAAAATGGCTGGTTGGATATATATAAGAATTTAAGATTATGGGCAGTGGAGAAGGAAACAGATAAATGACTGGCTAGGAGATGTGGACATTTTGCTGGAGGCGTGAGGCTCGCTTCTGGAGGGGCTTTGACCTCACTTGAGTGCCAGACATCGCAGGGGGAAGCCGCGCTCCGTTTGAGCTCCCACCAGAAGGGAACCCCTAATGATATATCTCGAAGAGAAGAGAAGTGTGCAGACGTACCAGCTGTGGAATCGAGCTGGGAACGTTGTGGTCTCAAGTCCTGGTCGACGAGCAGATATTAAATCGCCCAGAAGCATTATTGTGGGCCGTGGGAGCGCCCTGACCAGACGCCGTCAGAGGGAAAGCGCCCTCGACCAATTAATCTGTGGTTTGTCTTTGGGGAAAAAGTTGCGGAGAACTTCGAAGCCAGCCTAGATGAGGTAATTGATGAGACTCCAAGGTAGTGAAGCAGAGGACCTCGAGCTGTGAGGAGAAGCAGTGAAGAGGAGTGTCACGTGCTTCTGTAGAGGTGGTGTAGCAGCCAAGAGAGCTGTGGAGGAACCTAGCAGAAGGGTGAAGCACCGTAGTTGCACAAGGAAACTTCATGATAGCAGCCTGGAGGAGCTGCAGAGGATCCTGGTAGTGAAGCCCGGAAGAACCTGAAGAGATCAGGGTAGTGAACTTCCAGAGGTGGAAGGGGAAGTTCTGGTGGATTACTTGTAGGGAGTTGATAGTGTTTGGTTGTCATTAGCGTGCAAGACGCAGTGAGAGGTGAGTGATTGTTGGTATTCTGATGTCAAGGAGTGTTTTACACTGAAGTTTAGAGTTACAGTCGTAGGCTGGATTACCTACAGACGTATGCATTCTAGGACTGATAGAGTGATCGATTGATCATTGTTGTGTATCAATGAACATTTATACTGATATGTTATTGCATTCAAATGCTGATTTTCTTGGTACACATTTATAGATACATATATATATTCTCTTGCTGATGGTGCAACAGTGTATGTAGACTTGGATCAACTTGAGGAGGTTGATAGTATCAGGTGGTGAACCAGGAGATAGGATACCACTTGATAAGCTGATGATAGAGTTCTGATGGTGTTGGAGTGCAACCTGATTGTAATATTATAGAGTATAGGATTTATTATTATTATATGTGTGTATGTATTGTGTATGTGCTTTGTCCAGTAAATGTATCACAATTTGCTGGTGTTTGCCCTTGTCCTAGTGAGGCTTCCCAGGAGGTAGTAAAGAAGGAGAGAGAAAGAACCAAGAACCACTGCTGTGGACAGGGTAGAAGGTAATATTAATAAGTCAAAGGGGGATCGAGGAGATCATATCACCTAAGGAGAGAGTGGGGAGTCACAGCGGCTCGAGTGGGTGTGTGCATGTGACAACGAGGCTAAGTGTTGGAGCCGCATCCCCTAAACGTGTGACGTCGAGCCCCTCTCCAAGAGCCAGAAACGCCTAGTGTGATCTCCTAGTGAAGTAAAAGCACTCTGCCGAGTTGTGGGTTGGGTTGTCCGTAGAGAAGGATCAACGACAACAACACCAACAACCCACAGTCTATAATAATTATACAGTATATACATGTTATATATACAAGTATCTACATTTGTGTTCACCATAACAAACCACCAAGTTGGTATGCTGAGTCAAAAAGCAGGAAGGAGTGGCCGGTACACCAGCCACTCGCCACCACTCCCTCAACAACACCTCACTCGCCAACATCTTCCTCCTACCATACTGTTTTTGCTATTATTCACTATATAAAGATGTTATATGTAAGTATCTGCATGTTTTGTTCACCATAGCAAATCACTAAGTTGGTAGTAAGTGCAGACAGCAACAGGTCTAGACACAGATTCGGCAGACGATGCTACAGCCCTCCCACCCCTCAACATTACTCCTCCCACAGCACAGCGCAAAATATCACAACAATCCTGCTATTATCAGAATCCTAGTCATTTATATTACAGTCAGGGGTCTTCTGTAATACTATCATCGCTAAATAATACCAGTTACATATATTTTTTACATTTTTAGGCGATGCTGTGGTCACAAGCTGAACAGCAGTGCTGTGAGCTCATGCTGCGTGTGTCAGCCTTGGTGGCTCACTCAGTAATGAGGTCCTCACACCCGGGAATGTTGCCCAATTTTTTTTTTTAATGGCATCTGTTTACAAGAGTTCTGAGGAAGGTGAGGTGAACCCCGTGTATCCGCGGGCCTTTTAAATCTTGCGTAGTACTCCAACACGTCATATGACGTGAAGAGCACTTTTGCGTATGGCACTCAACGCGTCATATGACGTGTTGCCCAGTTTTAAGGGTTAAGACTCTGGGTGTCTTGGGGATGCCCCTTCCAGGGTAGCGGCGGAGGTATTAGAGTCGGTTCTCCCTGCCGCCTAAACCCCCCCCCCTTCCTTCCTGCATTTACAGCTGTGCTGGACTTTTCTTTTGAGGCCGGGGACTTGGAGGACGACTCGGCCCTGGGTCCTGATGTGGTGGTTTCCAGGGCTGAGAAGGAGCTAATTTGGTGGGCTTTGGGCTCCCTGTTGGACCCTGCCTGGGTTTTTCAACCTTCTGAGCAGGGTTTACTGTTGCAAGGACTGAAGTTTTCTTCCCCCCCCCCCTCCCCCTCCCCTTTGTATGAGTTGGATTTGGTGTCTGCCCCTCTCAGGGTTCGGTTCAGTGTCCCTTCAGGTTCTTCGATCCCGTCTTTCGGGAGGATTTTGGCTTCCTGCATCCCACCTCATGTGGTTTGGGACGCATTTGTGGCTTACCTTCTGTGCAACCTGGATTATGCCTCCATCATGTATCCATCTTCATTCAGGTTTGGGTCTTCATTTCCCTACTGGATTTTTTAGGAGGTTCCGGAGTCGTCCTGGCTAGCGGACTGTCCTGTGTTTTTATTAGAGGCTTGGCATGCGTTCTGTCGTTCCTGCATGCATGAGTGGCATGAGGCACTGATGGTGGTCCAGGTCCCCCCTCCCCTGGAGAGGGGGACGCTAAGTCCCGGAAACACCTCAAGGTAACCTCAAGGCAAGGTTTTCCCGGGGGGGGGGGGGGGCAAATTTGAGCACCTCAGTCTT